CTGGAACTGGATTATTTTTTATGATATGTCCAGTCCAATCCAGTCCAGTCCAATAAAGACAATTACTGGACATAGTCTAGATGCCAACACTGGATGAGGCCCATAGACTATAAGGGTCAAATTATATCATTTTCTTCCATTTTCTTTAACTCTTGATTCAGGAATCTTGTATTTTCAAAGTTTGTTTGATATGGTTTTTGAGCAATTGGCATAGCTGTTTCAGTATAAATATGATGTTTAATCTTAGTCATTCGTCTTATCTCTGTTTGACTTCTTACACAAATGTCATAATATTCTTCTAGAAGATTCATAAAAGCCTGTTGTTAATGGAAATCTAAAGGTCCTAATTATTCTAAGTAAGTTGGATCAGGTCTAGCAGTATATCCTGCAATTTCAGCAAGGTATGCAGCTGGATTATTTTCAGGTTGTTCGCTTAATTTCTCATTATCATCGGTATCTACTTCAGATTGGATAGGAGAGTAGTGATCAGACCATGGGTTGAATTCTAACTCATCGTCCAATTCTGATTCTTCTGAGTCAACATTATCAGATAAATAAATAGGATATTCTTCGTAATATTCATCCTCATATTCTTCACTTTCGTATTCGTCTTCAGCTTCCTGAGTCACAACTTTAGCTGTTTTAATAAATGCAATGGGTACTTTCATAGTAATTCCATCTCGTTTAATAGTAAGAATAGATTGTTCTCAACTCATAGTAGCATTAGTAATCCTGAGCCAATCATTTCCAAGTATAAGTATTTTATCTCTAGATTTGAGTACTTAAAAAGAAGTAGGTACATTAATTTTTCCAATTTTTACTGGCACATTGTCAATAATTCTGAGGGAACGAGTTCTTACACCATTTGCTGTTACTATTATCATTTTTGATGGTCAACTTATTTTATATTCTAATTTTTCTACTAAAGCTTTGGTTATAATACTGGTAGTAGCTCCACTATCGATAATTACAGTCTAAGCTTTTTGTCTAATCCTCAAAGTACATTTCGCAGCTAAGGTTGATTCATCATCACTTTCTACTAAGTTAGCTTTCTTAGTTTCATCAGTAGCTCTTTCTCTTGAGTGTTTGACAGCTCGAGCTAATCCAGAATGATATTTGAGAATAGCATGTGCAGCTTGTCTTACTGATAAACCATATGGTAAATTTTGCAAATAGGTCAAGATATTAAACTCAGTTAGTTGTTCAATATGGGCAGGTAATAACCTTCTTTTAGGAGCCTTTAGTGCTTTTTCGATTTTAACTGGCTCAGTTACTAAGTCTGATGTTGATTCTTTCATGTCTAACTCTTCAATAGTGGTTTTAGGTAGGTTTTGAAACTTTACTAGTCTTCTTTTATTTTTTAATACAGCATTTTTGGGGTAAGGTCCAGATCTAGTATTAAGGTAGACTTCATATTCCTCTTTCTCATAATATTCTTCAGAAGTATATTCCTCATCATTGTATTCTTTCTCACAATATTGGTCAGCCAATGTACATCTCTAGTATCATCATAAGGAGGTCTTCTATCAGTTCTCCTTGGTTGCTGACGAGGTTGAGGACAATATCTAGTTATATGTCCTTCTCTATTATAATTGTAACAGGTCATCGAAGACATATTTTGTCTGGGTCTTCTGGTAGTATCATTATAAGTTCGTTCTGTTCGTCTCCTTAATGGTTGTTGAGGTTGAGCTAATAAAGCAGTCGTCAGATTGGCATAATTGATTGATAGTTATTCTAATTTCTTAGTGAGCTCATCCACTTTAGCATTAGTAATCACATTTTTAGGAGTAGAGACTGTAGCAATACTAATATCTTTGGATGCTTTTCCAGAGGCAAAATTATATCCAATTTCAATAGTTCGTGCTGAGTTTACAGTAGCATCCAAATCGGCTAAATTTTATGAATTGACTAACAGAGTGTAAGCAGAATTTAGTCCCATAAGGAACATCCTTTTCTTCTGTGCATCATCTGTTAATCCTACACAGTCACTAATTTCTTGAACTTATTAGCGTAGGAATCCACAAATTCATCAGTTTGTTGTCGCAGAGAAGTTAATTCTTGGTATCATTGATTTTCTTGGTTTTGCTAATAAAATGAGCTTCAAATAGATCTACAAAATTTTGTTCACTATTGGTTCCAGCATTCCAATTGTCTCCCATGGCAGTAGTGATACTATCAAACTAATCAGCTGCTGCGCTCTTAAGGTGTCCTCCAGTAAGAGCCTTCTTTTGTGCTTCAGTGGTCCATCTATTAGTGATTGCAGCTCTTTCAAATGCAGTGAACCATTCTACAAGGTCTTCATTTTTAGCTTCTGAGAAATAATCAATTTTAATAGTAGATCTTTCTCCATTTTGGGTTCTGCAAAGTCATTCACTGATATCTGTCAAATGTTATCCATCAGTTCTAAAGATCTCTCAAAAGATAGCCTTCATTTCTTCTCCTGTGACCATTGTTTCAGTTTCAACTGGGGTAAATTAAAGAGTGAGATTGATAAGCTAGATGCAGAAGGTGTTGAAGAAGTGACAAGTCGTTGTAATAATTATCAGTCTGCTATAGGCCTTACTAAGTCCTGTTCTAAGATTTCAGTATATACCATTGAAGAAATAGATAAGGTAATAGGTTGTTGAAAACAATTTATTCGAAAGAATATGCCTTGTATATACAGGTATATTACGTCTGCTGAGAAAGGTCGAACATGATATTGAATGCTAGAAAGAAGTTGGTAGATAACTCTTATTAGGTAAGAGTTACGATGTTTAGATTCAGGAGTACCACTAAGTTATTTAAATAAGTTAAAGGCAACGGTAGTTCTTGAAGTAAAGGTATCTGCTTGATATTTACGTTTAAACTAATTTCAGAAATTATTAAAGCTATTGGAAAGAGTTTCGATTGGAGGGTAGATAATACCAATGACAAGTATAATCTTGATTAAGAGGTTTGTCTAAAAAATGCCTAACTATATGCTCTGATGTAGTTCTCTTAAATTCCTCAAAATTCATACACCTCGCTAGTCCTTCAGCGGTTCGTTGTGTATATCTTCAATAAAGATTCTCCTGGCAGG